CATTTCTCCTCGATAGAAGCAATTTCTGCTTGAAAAAGCATTTCTCCTTAAAAGAAACGATTTCTACTTGAATCCAAATGCATGTAGAAGAAAATCCTCTGTAACCAATTGGATCGGTTGGACCTTTTTCTGATCAATAATGATTCAATGCTAAATTTTGATATTCTTCATAAAAGTTGAAAAGAATTTCAAAGCGATTTCTTTCATCGTGAGATTCTTTGGGATGATTAATCCATTGATCCAAGCGTGATTCAACCCAAAGTTCTATACGAGACAAGGCTGTGCCAATAGTATAATTAAACTTTTGTCTCAATTCATTCATCGATGGTATATATTCATCTTGATTAACATAACTAAAATCATCATTTTTGTTAATATCTAATGAAGATTCAAATATTTTGTTTAAAGTTTGATGATTTATATACTTTTTTAATTCTTGACATGAATGCTGATAAATATAAACATTATTTAAATCGAAATTATTCGATAACAAATTGTATTTTGTTTTTGCATCGATTCGAATGCATTCTTGCCAATCTGATTTGGGAATAAGCATATTGATTTCTTTATGTATTTCTTTTTTGTATGTTGTATCCATTTGTTTACATCGTTTAAATGAGTAGATAGTGGTAACTGCTCGAGTTTATTTAGTCTTCGAACAATTTTTCGAATACAATGAATCAATAAATCAATCGACATCTTGGAGTGTATTTTACCGACAACATAAGTCAGAAAATGAGTGATCAGTAATTTATAAATAACGATGCCGACATTTCCCAAATGTTTAGTCAAAATAGTTTGAAGAACTACTTTAATAGTAAGCCATAAACCGGAACGTCGAAATGGTAACTTAGCATTATTCCATCGGATGTGATCACGATGCTTTTTCTTAAATTCAATAGACGTATTTGAGCTTTTATTGATTTCAATTTCTTGAAAATGTTGAATCCACCATTAACATACATAATGAGATTCTGGTATATCACGTATTTCATCGACTCGATGAGAGGCTTTCCATGATTTCGAATATTCAATAGTATTACGCATAAAATCAACTAATAACTCACAATGAGCTTTTGAATTTAATTGAAATCGATTTTTTAATCTGTAGGTTGATACTGGAAAGCAAGAGAGATGTAGAGTAAGAGACGAAGTTATACTTGCTGTAGGAAGTAAAACTTGCCAAGACGAAATTAATGGTTGATCGATGTTATTTGCTTCAATTTCGGTAAGAATTGCAGCATTTTGAGCTTCAAAATATAATGGAAGAAAACTTCCTGATGATAATTGTTCGATTGTAGATTGTAAATTTGATGTAGAAAAGTTTCGAATATTCTGTAATTGGCACCAATTTTGGAGACATTTATCTTTAAAAACATGAAATATCGGTAATGTTTTCAAATTGTTTGTCAATTCACAATTATCCAAATATTCTTTCATGAATTCTAATAACTTGTATTCATTTTCATGATTGTTTTGAATTAAGAAGTCTTCATCAGCAGAAGATGGTAGATAAGGTGGAAGAAACAAATGATTTAAAATTGATTCATCCATAATTTTGAACTTGAAAAACGTCGTGTGAATGAATGTAATATTTGTTGAGATGTTCTAAAAGATAAATCGAATCTAAAAAATAATCATATCGCGAAAAAGACAGTCATGATTATCGTAAGTATGGGTGTGGGTGTGGAACAATACTCACACCCACATCCACATCCACATCCACACCCACACATTCACACCCTCAAGAATAAAGAAATCTCTGTAATTCCGCATATTTCAACTATATTCCAGATTGACAAACAATAGACTATAAATACGAATCTACGGAGTGGCATAAAGAATACGAGGAATATTGTCGTTTCAACTTTGAGAAATCAGATCCTAACTCAAATATGAAGGAAAATGAAATAGAATATACAAGTGGACGATGTAAGTAGTCGAACGATAAACATCCTATGAGATCCATTTGTTCCTTTATCCAACAGGATTTAGATTCTTATATAGGGACGCCTGCTTAAAACATACGAAATCCGTAGTTTTTTTTTAATTTCAGTTTGCTCCCACGGTGGACAAACTTATTCAATAATATATATACCACGGGATTGAGGAAGTTTTCCTCTATAAGCCTATATGTATCCTATCTTTTGGTCAAGACCTTATATTCACCTTTGCCTTCGTACAAATTCAAAACCGAAGTCGGTGTGGAATTAGAGGTGTAAGCCGAGGAGTCAAACGGCGGCGGCGCCTACTAGACTCAGTTCTTTTAAACCGGCAGCGGCGGTTTTAATTGTAAATTTTTTTTTTCCATAGTTGCGGTGACTAATATACTTTATGTTTTTCTGCAGTGGCGGGGACTTTGACAAGCAAAAAAAAAACGTTTTTGCTCCTAAAAGACAAGAAGATGACCGATCGCATATGTATCGATGTCAACGGCGGCGGCACATTATACTATTATCGAAAATTTTTGTTCGTGGCGGCGGCGCAACGGCTGAACTAACTTTTTCACAGCGGTGGCGGCTAAAAAATTCGTAAAACTATCTTCGATTCCCTGGCGGCGGCGCAACTGGATGGCTTACACCTCTATGTGAGATCAAACATATTCAATTGATTGAATGAGGAAAATACAGAATGCATATATTAGTGAGATACTATGGTTACACACTAAAATAAAATGTGTCGTATTATATGTCGCATGTGTTGCAACAAGCTCTTCGTATCGTATTTCTTGCGTTCTCCGCTGGACATACATAGCGAAGAACGCAAGAAATACGACACGAAGAGCTCGTTGCGACACATGCGACACATTTTATTTTAGAGTGTAGTAGTTAAATATTCGCCGAAAGGAGAAAAGAATAAAATAATCTAATAGGTCAGACAGAAGAGAACTACAAGGGTTTGTTTTTGTATACTTTATATGCACTGTTATCAATAACAAGCAACAAATCTCGTGGGAAGAAGCATTACATAGAGAAGTTCTTTGATATTTTGTTTTTCGTAGAATGGACACCATATCACATTTTTAACCTACGAAAGTCATGTTATTTATTCGAGTTGTCGATGCTGATAGAAACCGTAATATATTCAAGGTGAGATAAGCGAGGATTCCTAAGAAATACTGAATAAAGGCTCTGATTCCTTAGATTTATTGTATCTGAACTGTGCAAAACCTTCAGATAAGTTGCTGCCTGAGGTTCTTCGTAATGAACTTGCAAAAATGACGTTACTCCAAAGTCAAATTACAGTCGCAAGGTTATTACAAAATTTCATTAAGGATATCCGACATAGAGCATGGCTCGATTGACAACCTCTTCTTCTCCTATACAAATTCTTTCACAATTCAGTTATTTATTGATGGAATATATAAAAATAATAATAATGATCACGTACACAGAATCGTGATGCAATGAAACTGGATCTCATACAAAACCTTGTCATCGGAATAACCGATGGCGATAGACTGAGAATTTAATTAACTTCATCATTGCATATGAGATTTTTAGAAGCCGAAATATTAAACAGCAGTTTTACTCAAATTCTTTTTTTCTATGGATGTTCGAACGATATCTGCCAAGTCTCATACTGCGACTATAAGCAAGTGTGTCACCTTGTTCGAAACCGATGAAAACTGCTTTACGCCATCCCGCGGTTATCTGTAAGCATACTATAGTATGCAAAACTGATAACCACCGCCTCTATAACATGTTTATTGGTAGGTTTATTAAAATCAATGCAAAACACTCCTTTAATCTAAGTTATCAAAACATCATTATGGGGCTTCGTACAAGAAACGGCAATTAATTACAATTTTCTTTTAAAATTGTATATGTAAGAGGTCTTCTTCTATCTTGATTTTCAATCAACCGGATTTCAAATCATTTAACTGCGCTTCATGTATAATCTTACTTTAAAAAAGTACCCACTGGATTGTATTGGAACTAAATATATTCATTTATTTATTTTTAAAGCTCTTCTCTTTCTATTTGAATTACGGTGACGCAAAAGTCAATAGCACAAAAAGGAATCATAAACAAAAACACTATTGTAGAGAGAAGTCATGGCATTATATTTTCTCAGTAAGCATATTTCCATTGCAGATGTCAACACCAGCATATAGCCTATTCAGCTAGAATAGTAGAAACCGATGCTACAGCAATGAGAAACTTGAAATTTCTGTTGAGTTTGGGTTTCAAGCTTTACATGTATGCAGTGAGATTCGTTCAGCGGGGAAAAAGCGAGATTTGTGGTGTTCAAAGTATAGGTGGAGTAAATGAAGTATGGTACTCTTGCTGTACTTCAATTGTACGTTAGTATACTATAGTTCTACAGCAGAATGCAGGAGACTCACTTTTTCTCAATTGGATCTGTTGTATTCCAAAATTCCAGTTTAGCTGTTATACAGCCATCCTTGATTTATCAAATATAAACTTCGATAAAATTAATTGCAACTTACCGTGTTACAGAAAACCTAGTCAATCTATTTCAGTTGCTTTAAACAATTTTTTTCGTTTAATATGAATTCAGCTCTCTTTATATTTGAACATAATCTGAACTGGGAAAATACCCAAAGAACGAAAGAAAAAAAAATAAAATCGAGTCTTTGCTGAATCACTATTGTCCAAGAGATGTCACAAACGTCCAGCAGATAATAGGGTGTGTGGGTGTGGGTGGGTGTGGGTGTGGGTGTGGGTG